AAGACCTATTGGCGACTAGTTTTTGTAAATTATGTTTTTAAATTGTTGAACATTAAAATGATCAGAAACAATTTTCAGTTGTAAAGTTCCATTTTTCCTCATTATTTTCAAAGACTAATAAGGCCATCACCTTTAGTACTTCAAGAGTAGGTAATAAATAAAATAATATGAAAATATGAAAAAACTTGAAATCTTATTTTCTTTTTTATTCCCAAAAAGTTGAAATTTTGTATTGGGACACTTTCATCGTAAAGGTGCAACCTGAAGGTCGGTAAACGTCAAGAAATTAGTTTTGATCGTTGACCACGAATTAATTATTGTAATTTTAATTTAATTTAATTTTTTTTTTATGATTGATTTAGTGTCTGTTTAAGTATATCTAAATGTTTTAAAATGAATGTTCAGCACAGTAATAATTGGGCACAGATATGCCTGTTGTATTAATTTTTAAGTGTTTTTATTTTCCTCACTTTCTGTATCTGATGTCTGTACATTGTGCCATAAATAAAAAATAAAAAATAAAAATAAAATAAATTTTCATCACTTGCTTGGAAATGAAAATATCGTGAGAAAACTTGGATTTCGGAGATAATTGCCGAAATCTTCAAAGATGCGAGAATGTCAAGTTTCCAACCAGTACTTACTATGCAAGTGCAGTGGACTAAACCTTGTGCAAAAAATAGTACTTTACTAACTTACATACGTCTATTGCTGAGCGCACGTTTCTAACAACAGGCTTACGCTTAATTTGACTTATCTACACACGACAACTTTCTGGGTATGGGTTTATTACATGGTGAAATTGAAATAATTAATATCCGTTGAACCTATTAAGGTTCTTACTTCCTAATAATATCTACTCATCTAAAGAAATATTTTAGAATAGTTTAAATTAGCAATAGTGTAAAACCATAAAAAATCTTACCTAAATAAACAAAGTATCAAGATTAGTCGCCTTGCGTACGCGATACGTAATCGTAGCGAAGTCGCAAGTCTTTGGCGGCAACTTTGGCGGCAACTTTGGCGGCAAAAATATCACCTTTGATTTTCGCCGCCAGCATTTGATTTTATACATGGTGACGTGGATTAGTGGTTAATGTTAGACTCGTTTCGGAGGTCGTGGATTCGATTCTCATAGTTGACTGGCTCTATGGGGTAGTTGTTAGAGTGTTAGGTTTTCTTTGCGGATGTCGTAGATTTGATTCCCATAGTCGACTGCCTCCATAGTCTAGTGGTTAGAGCGTTAGGCTTTCTTTTCGGAAGTCGTGGATTTGATTCCCATAGTCGACTGCCTCTATGGTGTAGTGGTTAGAGTGTTAGGCTTTCGTTTCGGCGGTTGTGGATTTGATTCCCATAGTCGACTGCCTCCATGGTGTAGTGGTTAGTGTTAGGCTTTGTTTTCGGAGGTCGTGGATTTGATTCCTATAGTCGACTGCCTCCATGGTGTAGTGGTTAGAGTGTTAGGCTTTCGTTTCGGACGTCGTGAGTTTCCGATGGGTGACTGCCTCCTTAGTGCAGTATATCCGTAATCACTCAGTCAGTTCTTGCATTATGTGGAAGTGGTACGGGTGATGGTCAGAGCTTGTTTACAAACAAAGGCGTATGCAGTGCAACGTTGAAGGTCGTAGACGTAGGATATAGGTATTCGTTTAATGTGTATGTAATGATGTAATTTGTATCAGGAGAAGGGTCTTATTTCAAAAGGATGGTAATAATTTTAATTTCATCCTGTAGGTACATTATGAAAACGTTACCCTATATTCCAAAATTTGCGTTTCAGTCGGCGTCCTTTGATGTGCCGCCGCTGAGGCAGAGGTGCTATTTTTTAATTTTTTGTAACAGTCTGTAATTGCCGTTTGCGTTGTGAGGACTAAATAGGTGTCATCGTTTTGTTTGTGTCTTGTTTTTGTGTTTATTTAAACTATGTCACGCTTAAGCAATAGTGATTACTAAGAGATGATGTTGTGCGTAGGCGCAGCCGATGGGAGCTTGCGCCAGCCTCGCCAAATTTATTGGGCAAAGTTTATTGATGGCGTCCCAGAAAATCGACGTCGACCATTTCCTGCTGTGGAATGCTTCAGGAAGATGGTTATGAGACTTCATAATAGTGGATCGTTCCGTGGTTCCAGTTCTGAAGGCCGGCCGAGTTCACGAGACCCAGAATTCGAGGCAGATGTTTTGGAACATTTTCTCGGCAATCCAAAGACAAGTACTCGTCGTGCTGCGGCAGCCTTTGGTGGTGTGAACCATATGAGCGTGTGGCGTGTGCTACGGGATGATGGCCAGCACCCATACCATTTTCAAAGAACGCAGGAGCTGTTACAAGCGGACTATGATCTACGTTTGGCATTTTGCCGCTGGTACCGCGACCAGGTTGGGAGGTCTCCCGACTTCGCTTCGTCGGTACTGTGGACAGACGAGGCGTCATTTACGCGTGCGGGCATTATCAATATGCATAATGAACATTTTTGGACTCATTTGAATCCCCGCGTATCAAGGGAATCAAATTTTCAACACCAGTGGCGGATTAACGTGTGGGCTGGTATAATAGGTTGTGCCGTCATCGGTCCAGTGTTTTTGCCGGCAAGTCTGAATGGGGCCAATTATTTAAGATTCCTAACAGAAGACTTGGGTGACGTTCTGATGGCACTGTCAGTGACACAATACGTGAGACTCGTGATGGAACATGGGATGACTTTCTAGCACGATGGAGCACCCGCACATTTTGCTCGAAATGTACGTTCCCATCTGAACGACCGTCTCCCGCAGTGGTTTGGGCGGGGAGGTCCTGTACCCTGGCCAGCGTGGTCCCCAGACTTGACACCGCTCGATTTTTTTTGTGGGGTCATATAAAAATATTGTTTATGCGGAGTCCTGTGAAAGCGCAGAAGAAATGAGGCAGCGGATCGAAATGGCGTTTAGTCAAATCACTCGGCAGATGCTTCAAAGAGTAGAGCAGTCTCTGTACCGACGCACGGAAATATGCATATTGCATTGAGGTCGGCATTTTGAACCTTACCTGTAAATGTGTGAAATGTGCCAGCAGTGCGTGTAGTGATTGTACTTATTATTCAAAATTATCGTAAACAAGTCAATATTTCGTACATTGTACAACAGTGAATTACAATTCGTAGGAAATTCATTAAAACGTGTATGAATTGCACAGTAGGTAAGTACCAATTAAAAAAGTATCCACTATTGTAAAATTGTCGTAAATAAATGTATTAATACAAAATTATGTAGAATGTGTATACGATGAAGGCGTGCGTAACTACGGGCTTAATAAGTAAATAAATATCCTTTAAATTGTATGTAAATAAGTACGTACCTAGGTATGGTATAAAATAATATTGTTAGAAATAATTCGATTTTTCTAGGTATTTAAAGATTTTGTTACTTAATATTAACGTGTTATCAACATATTCAAATCATGTTTTTACAGTGGCATTTCAATTGTAGTCAGCTGTTCTTTCGCCGCTCCGCCCAGGTTTCATTAATGAATTTGTGAAGTCGTAGTAACGTAACTAGCAATAGAGTTGTGACGCAGTGGTTGTTTCGGACAATCACTATTTATACAAATATAATTAAACTTATATCAACATTAAGAGTCACTTATTTTTATTTGATATTTTGCACAGAGGGTCTAGATCAAGTATAGGTTTGGCTCCTTTAATATGACTACACCTTGCGGTTACACCCTGTATATTAGAAATAAGTATTTTTGTCAAAAACAAACATGTACCTTTTCCCACAGTACGATAGGCCAGATAATATGCGTCCACGCTAAAGATTAGCCCCCCAACTCCAAAATTAAATTTAGTTCACTCAGTGCCCTTTGCAATGGCGGTAAAAACTTATAATAAAATACCAGAACGTATAAAAACAGAAACTAATATAGATAAATTTAAACATGCATTAAAAAATTATTTATTATTAAAAAGCTTCTATTCGGTGCGAGAGTTTTTATCGATTTGATATAGTATACATAAAATTTAACGAAAAGAAAAATAATAAAATTAAAATAAATAGTTTAAATAACTAGTTTTTAGGTTGTAATTGAAAAATATGACATATTTAATATGACCTTTTGACGATTGAAAAAAATTATATTTTTAATTCATTTAAATTCTCATAAATTGTAAGTAAATTGTAACACAAATTATATTCTGATTTTAGATTTGACATTGCTGCGCCCTTACAGGGTTCATGTTGATCTATACCAATAATTTAACACCTATAAATGTAACAACGTGAATGCAATAAATGTTTTGACTTTGACTTTGACATTTGAGATAATTTGAGATAAACAAATGACAGTCTTGGAAATTTGACGAACTCGATTAGACACAGACGTAGATATTTTTTATTGGTAAAAAATTTACATTTACAAGTCATAAATTGCTTTAATAAATTATGACCATACAATAATGAGCAGCGATTCTATATGGAGTAGTTCTGTAAAGTCAAACGCTTTTCGGAAGTCGGAAAACTTTTATATGTTGTGCTGTTGCGTCAAGGTTCTGCTTTTCAATGAGCAATCAGGCTTCAGAAGGTCGGTGATTGATCACAATAAATAAAGTGCCTCTCACACAACTGCTACTCGATAAAGGTCGATAAGATTTTGATCCTAGCCATATTGCAGGATTTCAAACAACTAACATATCATACGTCAATACTGAAGCTACCTTTCAGGGAACAAATGTATCTGATCATGTTTAGCTTTAAGATAGAAGATTGCCTCATACATTACCCGAAAGGCGTTCCTAGAAGAGCAAAAATCAAATCGGTAGATTACGATGCTACATATCGAACAAACTAAATAACATACCTGCAGTGCGGACAGGCATTGCAAGCGCCGCAAACACATGCGACGCGCGGGTTGTTGGACAGCAAATCGCGTGAATGCTGTTGGTGACCCAGCCACCGTTTTGTGCGTTGTCGTTGGTCTTGAGACTCCATATCCCAGCCACCGGAAGTGATCTGAAAGTGAATTAAATGATAAGGATTCCTTTAAACATTCAGTTTTATAAACTTTCATATGTGTTAGGAGAAATAATGCTGAGTTTCCAGAGCCTTAAATAATAAACAATACAACTGTACACACCGGCACATTTAGCGTATCAAAAAATACAGAGAACATAAAATAGTAACGTTTATTAAGAATGAGACATTAGCAATTAAGTTAACCTCTTTTAACATTGATTTAGTACAGCCCTACTCAACCTTTTTTTTTTTTAAATCGAAATTAAACAAAGTTATATTTCTTTTAGATTCTGTGACAGAACAGAAACGGCTAATAAATTTAAATATTGTAACAGTTCACCATTGACTAATTCAAAGTTTAATAAAAAAAACCTTTTTACAAGAACGCAAAATTTACCTTGAACCAAGACATACTGGTTTTAGAGTAGTAAATTAAAACAAATATATAATAATAGAATCTTTATCCTGCAGAAAAGTGCGGGTAGGGCAATTTACAATCTGGGCACCAGAGTATCTTTGAAAGATAAGTTTAAGGAAATTAACATTCTTATACTAGCCTCACTGTACATTTATGAAAATGTAATGAATGTTAAGAGGAATAGTAATTTCTTTATGAAAAATAGTGACAGACATAACATTAATACGAGGAATAAAAATAAACTAGCTGTTCTTGATAGTCGTCTTCACAAAGACATTTAAGGGGCAATGTATACGCTTCTATAACAAAATCCCGGTTGATATTTAAAATTTGCCTTTCACGAGGCTTAAAACTAAAGTGAAACAAAAACTTTATACTAAAGGTTATTATACAACTTCTGCGTACTCGGATGACAAAAATCCGTTGTAGTAACCCGTTTAGCTCATGGAGGTAGTCTCGATCTCTCATGTTTCAAAACAACACATATATATTATATATATATATATATATATACATAAACACATTGTAAATATATAATATATACATTGTAAATGTTGAATGTGTACAAATGTTATTTACAAAGAGCAACTCATAGAGTTTTTTGCTCATTCTTGTCAGGGGAATCTGCCTTACGAATGAGCGGTAGAGTTTAACCCACAGACCACATAATGGTTTAACCATTTGTGACAATTTGAAATGTTTACCTATGAAATAAAGATTATTTTGAATTTTGAAAAATAAATACAGAAAACGACAGCCGACTATTTCTTTATTTTCAAACTAGACCTAAAATAAAATAACCTACCAGACTTTTAAAAAGCAATGCTTTTGGGGACGTCACTAGCGCTCCGCTAAATGTGGTTTTGTTTGTGAATATAGATTTACCAAATTATCTATGAAGTTGAAGTCTTAGAATAAAAACAGTATTTCCTGATACCTCCTTTAGCGGTAGCGTTATTTTATTCAATACTTGACAGGCAGATGAGACCGCTCCACCTGATGTTAAATGGAATCCAAACGTGAAGGAAGCTAGTGCAGTGTTAATACAATCACCGCCCTGGCCACCTACACGCTGCATGCCAAGATGCCTCTTCACGCCTTGTTGGAAAGATTTCAAGAGGCAGGGAATACATACGCTAGAAGATAGGTCTACTGTACGACAGAGAAAGGTGTCACCAAACCTTTTAGTTCATGGAATGCGGCAAGATGTAAATCGGTGACTACGGAGGCCAGTCTCGGAGCAGAAAAGGGGAGGACGAGATTAGATTGTATAATTCTTCAACAATAGTTCTTTCCGTTGCAATATTATATCAGATAATAATCTGTCTTGAGAAAGTTAGTTATTAATTGAATGTATCATCGTCTGTTACACATACCTGTATTTCAACTGGTTGTTTCCTTTTGAAATCTTCTTCACTGACACTACAGCTATTCGCATCACTACATCTATCATCACTTGCATGACTAGACGCGTCGTTATCGTTATTCCTCGTTTCGTTATTCTTAACGGTATCAACGTTATTGGTAGTAACTTTGTTAATGCTATCGTCTGTGACGACTGCGGGGGAGATCGTGCGAGGGGGAGAGGTAGACTCGCGTATTGCGTGACTCCGAACTAGTTGTTTTGATTTGAAGCTCTGGAAACAAAGATTTGTAGCAATGTACTTTTTGTTGGCACGGCAACAAAAATCTTATTTCTAGTCTGAAACCGAAAGTGACATCGGTCCGCACTAGGGCTTACATACCGGGATTCTCGACAATTTTTTGGCATGTTTGTGATTCGAAATACGATGTTTTCAGTCCCAGGAACATCGAAACTTGAGACTTAAGTCACTCAATTAAAGTATTAGAAATATACTAAACCAACTGTAATTTATTAATAGTAGCGTTTATTTTATTTGACGAGATTGAAGAACGGTAATAACAAAATCAGGTCATCTCTATCCGAAAGTGTATTAAATGACCTTTGTTCGTTGGTTGAGTTATTACATTATCATGTTTTGAACGCCGAAATGCATAGTAAGGAAATCTACTTTTCAAACAGTCTCGAAAGTCCCGGAATTTTCGAGATTCTCGGTATTTTTTCCCGGGACACGGAAATGCAGCGAGACTGTAAGCCCTCTTTCGCCCCTAAATTTCGTTCAAATGTATTTGTCTCTTTCGTTTTCATTATTAGCAAGAAAAGGACGGATATTCAAATTTTAGTTTGCAACCGTCATATGAATCGAATTTATTTGAAACCATTAGGCGTACTTTAGATCTAAATTGTCCTGGGGGTCTACTCTCGATCTCCGTCCGCCATCCGTCCGAAACAATTACTGTCAAATAAGTAATATTCGACAAAATTAAAAGACAAGTATCAAGTATGAAGCTTCATTCGCATCACGCGTCCTTTCAAGTATTGCTTATTTGGCAGTAATTGTTTCGGACGGATGTCGAACGGAGATCGAGAATAGACCCCCTGCCCTCGGAACTGAAAAAGGAACAACTAACATTTGATCAAAATTGAGTTAGACTGGCGACATACAGTCAGAATCCCGTTTCCAGCAAAACTATACAAATTACGGACTTATCACACATATAGGTATAGTACTATTCAGAAAATTTTTTTTCTGATTCGAAATTCCTTACGGATGGCTTTTGCATTTGGTATTCTGCACAGAAAAACACCGTTCCGAATGCAAGTCTTCCACAGATTTTGTAGGGCCGCAACACACAGTCGTAAAGTGTACGTATTTTAGCTACGAGAACATCTGGACTCGATGACTCGCGTCTCTCAGCTGAGTGTTGTTATTCTGAACGGAAATAAACATATGTGTCTGATGTATATCCGATGATATTCCGAAAGGAAATTTCTAAACGGAATTCCGACTGTATGTGGCCGGCCTTATTTATGGGTCTTTTTTTGCAATCAGGAAAAAAGACCCATCTTTTGTAGAACAAGACCAATTTTTTGCAGAAATATATCGCAAAAATTGTCAAGCAAGCTCCAAAGGCACAACTGACATCAACAATCAGATTTTCTGCCATAAAAAGTTACATTTGGCGTTAATTTAGTTAAATGCTCACAAATGCATTTATGTGTGTAGATTAGTTCGATATTTTTGATGCAGGTTTATTATGTAGTTCAATTACAATACAAAAAAAGGCAAAAATTGAATAAAAATAGCATAGTTCTGATTCTACTATGATAATAGTGTCTTTTAGTTATTTTTAACCGACTTCAAAAAGGAGGTAGTTCCCAATTCGTCTGTATGTTACGCGATAACTCCGGTATTTGTGAACCGATTTTCATGATTCTTTTTTTGTTGGAAAGTACCTCGTACCTCGAAGGCTGGCTGTTCACGCATGAAGATTCATTTTTATAAACAGCGCCTAACTTTAATTTAGGAGCAATTACTTTAATGGTTGATTTTTTTAATGGTTTTGCTATTTCTCCAATTCAAGGCGTTTTTCTCTCGATATACTTTGAGTAGTGAGAACCGATTTTTATTATCTCCAGTGTCAAGTCCAGTATAGTGGTGAACTAGGGGATATTTCAATAAAACTTAGCAAATAGACGTAATTCCACTTACTTTTGAGGTCGGTTTTTTTAGTACTCTGTACTGAGATTATACAAGTGACATTCGAGTCGGTTATACCCTTTATATACAGTGATCATGTTTTTTCTCCACTAAATTAAAATAAAACATCAAGGTTTTTTTTCTAAAATGACTAAATAAAATATAATTAAAGTTTCTGTGTAAAAAGGGGTCTTATTATTTAACATAAATAAATTAATATCAAAAACATATTTCTTAATCTTATTTATGTCCAGTTTTGATATTGCTGTTGTGCCTTTCTTTCTTTTGAGGGCAGTATTATGAAGTGACATTTTAATGTAACTATTCTTGAATATGAACCTAACACACTACCAAGTTCATTGCAAATAAATGGTTGGTTATTATTTTTAAACATCGAATACTTACCCTATTTCTATTAAGATGAGTTGCTTCTTCTGGGCTACTGCCCTTGTCGACTTCAGGCTTTTCCATTATATTACAACTTTTCCAAATATCTCCCAAAAAGATGGCGTCACTGACTAGTTTTAAAACTAAGAGATTTTTTTTACAGAAAACTTACAATTTACATGAAATTGGACCAACCAGTGACACTACAGCTACTAGAAGGCAACTATATATTTTTTTAATTTACTTCTATTACTAATTTTGAAGGATTTACATCCAAAAAGTTTTTAAAGCTTTAATTATTTTTTTATTAATGGTAACCTCGGGAACGTCCAGTTTAAAGAAAAAAATATAATTTGGAACACTTAGTTTTTTAAGGTTGGTAGTTAAATTTAAGCTCGTTGCTTTTTTGGTTTTTAAATTAATTTACTTTTAAATTTTTAGGTTGGCAAAAGTGTTCGGCGTTTCCTGATTGGGCGGACGGTGTTTGACGGAGTCTCGACGGAGTGCATTTTCGATTATTTAAAGATGGCGGAAGACGAGGTGGTGGGTGGGTTTTATGCGATGCTGCTTGACTGTAGTCGACGCCATAAATCTGAAACAAGGAAAAACGTTCATATAAAATCGATTTAAAAATAGGCCACAAGGAAACTACGAAATGTCTGGCGTGCCCTGACGGGCTGCCACCGTACTTATTCATTTATTATTTTTATTTATTTATTTCTCCACAGATATACCGATAAAGACCTTGCCAATCTGAGCACCAGGTTGTTGGCAAGACAACGCTCTTTTATATAACCTATATGTATATCTATTCTAGTTAATTCTTCATTAATTAAGTTTAATTAAATTCTAGCAAATTTTCTAAAGTAAATCTGTCTTCGTTAAATAATACTGTCTCTAATCACAATATTTATTTCACTAAAACATTACATCACTTAGCAATAAATTGTTTAATTTCTTTTTCAACACTTTTTTACTAACCTTCGTACTTTCTCTGAGCCGGTCTATTTTGTTGTATATTTTTGGTATAACATATTTATCAGTTCTTTATCCATAATTATTATTAATCTTTACATTTATTTAATTTCCTTTCTCTAACTCTTTTTGTGTTATACCTGTTATATACGAATAATTTATCCTCACATATAATAAAAGACGTTGGAAGAAATGGGGAAAGAACACCCCAGCACGCGCCAGTTTCACGCGGTCTATCCTGCGCTATTAGCCTTACACGGACGCTTGTGACAAAAACGAACGCGAGAAATCGCGCGCGAAAGAACGTTAGCTTAAAAAATTCAAACAGGTAATCGCGCACGATTGTGCGTGCAGGCTTTTTTGTACGCTCGTGATCACGTGTGATAGAGTGACTATGTAAAGGGGCTATTGATGTTTTGATTTAGTCGAATATTACTTGTGTGATGTCGGACAGAGTACTACTAGGCCCGGCGCCCAATAACGATCGGCACGGCCATAGCAGGAAATTTTTACACGACTAATACGAATAATAAATTATGACAATATAGTTGAAGTTGAAGCTTCAGCAGTCGGGATGCTTCGGTCAGTTTCCGAAGGTTATCCACCTAAAAAACTTCTCCTTCTTGGAATATGGTTTTCTTCTTCAACAATGTTAGCGAATAGTAACTTTCTATTTTGTTAGAAAACTTACTTTGCTTAATTTAGAATTACTTTATCGAAATAAGAAACAAATCGATATCATCGTCGTATCAACGGAACGCTGACGGGTGGCCGCCATTGCGAAAAACATTTTTGACGAGATGGTTTTGCTTTGTTTGGATTTATAGTGAAAAGATCTTATAATGTAATTTATACAACAGAACAGTCACTGGGAGTCTCATTTCTATGTCTGCTATGAAACCTAACAGTAAGTCTACCATTTTTAAATATACAACTGGTAATAAACCAGCTTGCAAGGTTACGACTGACTGGCATGCTTCGGCATGTCTAACGATACTGCGGAATAACAGACGTCATTGTGCGCTTGCATGTAAGAATGTCGTAGGATCCCTTGTCATGCTGCTCGGCCAATGGGTGCCGAGCTTTATGTGTGATCATGCCACAATTATCATCATCACATGTCGCACTACTGGTTTTCCGAGTAGAGTTCATGCCATACTCTACCACAGTGGCTTTTTTTTTATGTCAGGAAATCCTCATGGATACCCTCCGCCCGGGGCAGCCGAAGGGTTATGTCGGACTCCTACCAACTGAAACCCGACGGTGTTCCCTCTGTTCACCATGTACGTGTCACGGATGCACTTTCGCATTCTTCTGCGACTCCGGCGGTGAGCGACTGGTAGTCGAACCCCGTCTCGCTTTCCAGCGAGAGACGTCACCTCCGTCTTGAGAGGCGGACGTGGAACACGAACGCCGCTATCTCGGGTGAGTAACGGGCAGTCTTGGGGTATTTACACGTTTTGTAAAGGTTGTGAATGCGACCAAATAACACATTGCAAAGAGTAAATTTTATCTCCATGAAATTGTAGGTACACGGTAGATACTTTTTAATAAGGATTAATGTGTTATACCCAATAAGTACACTTCAAGATAAGCTTTATGCTTTTAATTAGTTTTTATCGTGAAAGCGTTACGGCTTAAATATAAAAGCTAGGTGTATCGTGTTGCTGATTTCTTTTAGATCAAGGCTAGACTGAATAGGCATTTACTCGAAAAAGTGGTATCAATGTCCACGTCGTTGTTTAAACATCAGTGGGGCTAGCACGAGAGGGCGCGAGCGTCATAAACCGCGAGATTCTGCCATTCTCGCAGAGATCTCGCGCTTATCGTGCTAGTCCTACAAACGAGTTTAAGTTCATTCATCTTCGTCTAATGCGTCTTATTTTTTCTTAATTAATGAAACTTATTAAATCCATTATTGTTACATTTTATTAGTCATAATGTTTTATTAGCATTACGTCATCATCAACCCACTAGTACGTCCCACTACTGACGAGGGTTAGCCCATAGTGCGCCACGCTGGCCCAATGCGGTTTGGGGCCTTCACACGTTTTTCCGAGGGTTGTGAAGCTTCTTCGACGTGCAGGTTTCAGTTCATGGTAAGAAAGGTCATAAATTAAATTTTGCACATAAATTCCGAGAAATTCAGATCAGAGGTATATTCAAATCCACGGTCTCTGCTTGATAGGCGGTAGGTCACACCATTAAGCTACTACGGTTTAATATAATACTGAAAAAAATACATTTATTTACTTGATAAAATAATTACAGTATTCGGTGTTACTTGTAAGTAAAAATTATTATTATTAATAATTAATAAAAAAAAGTTATTTTTTATTTATGCCTACATCATTCAAAAATTTTACGTTATTTATTACATTACGTAACATTTAAATTGAATTTTATTAACGGAAAATTGTTATTATTAATGCTGTAAATAATTAAGAATTAAATTAAATTGAATTAACGTTCCAAATAATAAATATAATTAATTTATTTATATATCGAGTTCTTAGGTTTTCGCCATTGTTAAACATACGAAATTAAACTATATTTCCGGATTTAAATCGCGCTTATTTGTTTTTTCAAACAAACCGACGTTTCGGGAACTTCACAGGTCAATTTTTTAAATCTATTAAAAAAATATTATACAATTTAACTTAATAAAAATTGATATTGTTAAAATAAAATAATTTGTAAAACATAATGTAATGTAGCGTAAATAGGAATGTTCTTTGTCAAATAAAAAATACGGTATTTAATTAATAACTTTTGTAACTTAAGTGAAAAAATGGGGTGGTTTACATTAAGAGGGAGCATGCCAAAAAAGTTTTGACGTTGGCTCCGCCCAAATTTGTGAAACAAATACAAGCCTGAAGATCGCGTGACATGCGACAGGAGATGTTGAATTTTGCGCATTAAAAGTACCAAATTCGTTTTAGCGGAATAACTCTAAAACTAAAGGGATTTAAAAAAATCCGTAGTGAAAGTTGTCGGTCATGCATAAATATAATTAATTATCTAATTTTTGTCCTAATAACCTGTAGCATTTCGAGGATAAATCGAAAAAATGTGAAAATTAGAGGTCATTTCGTGATTTTTATCTATCGAGGAAACTTTATTGTTTAATGTTTCTGATTAGTGTCTATGCTTGAATATAACGTGTAGTTACTCAGATAATATTTTATTTTTAACTTTAGATATACCCCTCTAAAATCAAATCGAAGATTAGGAATTTTTCCTCTGCTCCCTCTTAATATTAGACATAACTGGTAGATGAGTGTACCACCGCAGTCAACAGTGATCATGGAACCTGTAACTACGAACACAACACTTGCACAAGCTCTACAACTGTCTGAATTCCACAGGGAGGTATTATCAAATCAAATCAAATTATTCAAATCAAACCATTTATTTCTTAGTGATACACAGGTTATAAAGTTGTTACAAGAATGAATTTTGAATCACTGTGATCCGCCTTATGGCATACAAAGTTTTCTTAGTTTTAGTAATTCTCATGCAATAATTTGTAATAATATTATAATAATGCAGTCCAATTAACGCAACCTAATACTAATGAAACATAATAACAATAGTAAAATAATCAATAACAAATTGAATACTATGAAATGTAAATTTTATAAGAAATCTTCAATATTATAGAATGCCCTATCACTTAGGTAATTAAATAATAATTTCTTAAATTCTGCACAATCGTTGCAATTCCTAATTTCAAATGGAAGTTTGTTATATACCTCCGTAGCCATTACTATTACATTCTTTTTTATTATCTTCTCTTTGTGTATTCCTTGAAGTTTAAATAAATACACACTCCCTATCCCGGATATCTGATTATGTCATTAAAGAAATTTGTCGGGTTACAAATAGTCAAGAAGCCACTTCGTTTGCTTCTCTTCACTTGTCTACGTTCTAGTGACGTATGCTGTAACTCGTGTTTGTGAACTTGATAACTACCAAGGTTGTTAGGTCACGGTGAAAGTGTCCATTGGCACACGACATTCTTAGGTATAATTTTTTTAAAGTAACTACCTTTATTGGCAATGATATATATTTATATACTAAGTTTAGTAGCAGTAGAACTCCTTGTGGAAGAGTTGGTCGAGGGAAGTACTGCCACCTTACCTATTTCTGCCGCCAAGCAGTAATGTGAGTATTAAGCGTTCCGGTTTT